GTGCCCGTAGGACGCCGTTTAAGCCCAGTTTGATCAATTCACCTATTTGCGCTAGTCCTACTGGAATTTCTCTTGTGCCAATGTGTTTCTCAGGCCGTGACTATCCTCTGGACAAAGAATCAACGTGCCCGTAGGACGCCGTTTAAGCCCAGTTTGATCAATTCACCTATTTGCGCTAGTCCTACTGGAATTTCTCTTGTGCCAATGTGTTTCTCAGGCCGTGACTATCCTCTGGACAAAGAATCAGCGTGCCCGTAGGACGCCGTTTAAGCCCAGTTTGAACATTTCGCCTATTTGCTCTAGTCCTACTGGAATTTCTCTTGTGCCAATGTGTTTCTCAGGCCGTGACTATCCGCTGGACAAAGAATCAGCGTGCCCGTAGGACGCCGTTTAAGCCCAGTTTGATCAATTCACCTATTTGCGCTAGTCCTACTTGAATTTCTCTTGTGCCAATGTGTTTCTCAGGCCGTGACTATCCTCTGGACAAAGAATCAGCGTGCCCGTAGGACGCCGTTTAAGCCCAGTTTGATCAATTCACCTATTTGCGCTAGTCTTACTGGAATTTCTCTTGTGCCAATGTGTTTCTCAGGCCGTGACTATCCTCTGGACAAACAATCAGCGTGCCCGTAGGACGCCGTTCAAGCCCAGTTTGATCAATTCACCTATTTGTTCTAGTTCTACTGGAATTTCTCTTGTGCCAATGTGTTTCTCAGGCCGTGACTATCCTCTGGACAAAGAATCAGCGTGCCCGTAGGACGCCGTTTAAGCCCAGTTTGATCAATTCACCTATTTGCGCTAGTCCTACTGGAATTTCTCTTGTGCCAATGTGTTTCTCAGGCCGTGACTATCCTCTGGACAAAGAATCAGCGTGCCCGTAGGACGCCGTTTAAGCCCAGTTTGATCAATTCACCTATTTGCGCTAGTCCTACTGGAATTTCTCTTGTGCCAATGTGTTTCTCAGGCCGTGACTATCCTCTGGACAAAGAATCAGCGTGCCCGTAGGACGCCGTTTAAGCCCAGTTTGATCAATTCACCTATTTGCGCTAGTCCTACTGGAATTTCTCTTGTGCCAATGTGTTTCTCAGGCCGTGACTATCCTCTGGACAAAGAATCAGCGTGCCCGTAGGACGCCGTTTAAGCCCAGTTTGATCAATTCACCTATTTGCGCTAGTTCCACTGGAATTTCTCTTGTGCCAATGTGTTTCTCAGGCCGTGACTATCCTCTGGACAAAGAATCAGCGTGCCCGTAGGACGCCGTTTAAGCCCAGTTTGATCAATTCACCTATTTGTTCTAGTTCTACTGGAATTTCTCTTGTGCCAATGTGTTTCTCAGGCCGTGACTATCCTCTGGACAAAGAATCAGCGTGCCCGTAGGACGCCGTTTAAGCCCAGTTTGATCAATTCACCTATTTGCGCTAGTCCTACTGGAATTTCTCTTGTGCCAATGTGTTTCTCAGGCCGTGACTATCCTCTGGACAAAGACTCAGCGTGCCCGTAGGACGCCGTTTAAGCCCAGTTTGATCAATTCACCTATTTGCGCTAGTCCTACTGGAATTTCTCTTGTGCCAATGTGTTTCTCAGGCCGTGACTATCCTCTGGACAAAGAATCAGCGTGCCCGTAGGACGCCGTTCAAGCCCAGTTTGATCAATTCACCTATTTGCGCTAGCCCTACTGGAATTTCTCTTGTGCCAATGTGTTTCTCAGGCCGTGACTATCCTCTGGACAAAGAATCAGCGTGCCCGTAGGACGCCGTTTAAGCCCAGTTTGATCAATTCACCTATTTGCGCTAGTCCTACTGGAATTTCTCTTGTGCCAATGTGTTTCTCAGGCCGTGACTATCCTCTGGACAAAGAATCAGCGTGCCCGTAGGACGCCGTTTAAGCCCAGTTTGATCAATTCACCTATTTGCGCTAGTCCTACTGGAATTTCTCTTGTGCCAATGTGTTTCTCAGGCCGTGACTATCCTCTGGACAAAGAATCAGCGTGCCCGTAGGACGCCGTTTAAGCCCAGTTTGATCAATTCACCTATTTGCGCTAGTTCTACTGGAATTTCTCTTGTGCCAATGTGTTTCTCAGGCCGTGACTATCCTCTGGACAAAGAATCAGCGTGCCCGTAGGACGCCGTTTAAGCCCAGTTTGATCAATTCACCTATTTGTTCTAGTTCTACTGGAATTTCTCTTGTGCCAATGTGTTTCTCAGGCCGTGACTATCCTCTGGACAAAGAATCAGCGTGCCCGTAGGACGCCGTTTAAGCCCAGTTTGATCAATTCACCTATTTGCGCTAGTCCTACTGGAATTTCTCTTGTGCCAATGTGTTTCTCAGGCCGTGACTATCCTCTGGACAAAGACTCAGCGTGCCCGTAGGACGCCGTTTAAGCCCAGTTTGATCAATTCACCTATTTGCGCTAGTCCTACTGGAATTTCTCTTGTGCCAATGTGTTTCTCAGGCCGTGACTATCCTCTGGACAAAGAATCAGCGTGCCCGTAGGACGCCGTTC